ACACACACACACACACACACACACACACACACACCCACACACACAACACACACACACACACACACACACACACACACACACACACACACACTAAGGGGGTCCGAAATCCCCCGACAGGTAAGTGTGCAGGGGGGGCCCGGCCCCAAACCGGGTGCCCTGCCCGGCCAGGCCGCCTGGGACCTCCCCCGGGCCTCTGCCGTTCACCCGGGCAGCTCGGATCCCCACTCAGTTCTTTTTTGATTAGTGGCTCCTTATCTGGGCGATTTTTCCCACCCACCCCTCCCCACCTATGTTGTTGCCCCCTCTGGTCTTACCTTCTCTCTCAGTCACCGGGTACCCCCTGCGGCGGCATTGGTAAGTTGCCACATCAGCAGGCCACATCAGCAGACCACGTCAGCAGACCACGTCAGCAGGACACATCAGCAGGACATGTCAGCAGGCCACGTCAGCCAACAGCAGTGCCACGTCAGCAGCAGGAGTACCACGTCAGCAGGCCCGCAGCCTGGTCTATACTTTTGCGCTCGCAAACAGCCGTCATGGACCAGAAGTCCGGGGAAACAGACGAGGTCTATCAGGCCCGCATGTTAGCCTGGAGTACCGAGACAAAGAAGCGAGCAGATGACGCTTCGGCGGCAGCGAAGAAGAAGGCAGAGGACGCCGAGAAGGCACGTATACTGGCAATTGAACAACAGCGCCGACAGGACGAGGCAGCAGCAAAGGCTGCTGATGAAGAATGAGTTCAACGGCGTGAGAAGATATTTAGCGGAGAGCAAACTTTGCTCACAATGGCAGCGGATTGGCGGGCTGAGGCCGAGAATAGCAAGATGGAGGATAGCGAAAACAAGATCACTCTACTCCTCTCCCATCTCACGGACCTCCTGGCAACATGAATTACACAGCAGGAGGACATCCACAGCCTCGACGACACGCTGACTCAAGTCCACGCTCGCCTCGGGCAGCTGGAGCAGCGGCCTGTCGCCGCCCCCGATGCCAGCTCTTCCAACACCTCTGATCGCCTCGAAGCATTGGAGATGGATGTCGGCTCCTCAAGGACAGCGTGCAGTTACAGCAAACCGCAACGCAACAGTTGGAGCAGCGGATCTGTAATGCCGCCAACAACTCGAGTTCGGAACAGCGCAAGACAGTTCCAAAGTTTGACGGGCAGGAGATCTTCTGCGACTTGACGAAGACAGATCCGATTCCATGGTTCCGCAAGTTCGAGCTCACGCTGTAGTTACACTACGTCAAAGAACACAAGCACCACGCATACTTATACTCCCGCTCAGGAGGCGCGTGCCAAGCATGGTTGGACAATCTCTTGTCCAAGTACGGAGTGGTAGCTGCTGACTTGCATACCAAGATCAGCTGGGATGATCTGAAGGCGGCGTGGCATAAGCGGTTCCAAGTAGAGCCGCCGAAGATCAAGGCCATGGAAAAGCTAATGGTCTTCGAACAAGGCACGCTGCCGAGTGTCGACTGGATCGTCGAGTACCAACGCTTGACATCCGTCCCAGACATCCAAATGGGCTTCAAAGCCATCCGCCACTATTTTATCTCAAGGTCGTGTCCGACACTGAGCAATGCCTTGACTCACGTCGAGGACACCTTGACGACAACGGCGGAACTCTTTGACAAGGCCACACAGATTATTATCATGAACAAGGAGGCTAAGAACCTGCGTTCGTCTGCACCAGGCCCGAGCAGAGACCAACATCGGCCAAGAGTGGCCGTGGTCGCAGCGGCAACGCCGTTTGACCAAACTAGCGAGGCCGTGTCTGCCAATGAAGGGGACAGACTCGCAGCCGCCCGGGAAGGTGGCCGCCCCGGCAAAGGCCGAGGATGCGGCAAGCCGAAGACAAACACCGCATCTAGCCCCGGGCCCGGCGCAGCAGCTCCAGCCCCATGGATCCACTTCGGTCTCTTCGAAACAGCGTACAAAGCACGCACGAGATTCCACTATTGCCTATGGTGCAACAGCGATCTCCATAAGATAGTGGCCTGCCCGTCAAAAGGCAAGGGAAATCGGGAAACTGAGCACCGTCGGGAGTGACTCGACGACACTCTCGACGCCTTCGAAACCGGTCACTTTGCGGGTTACCGCCCTTCGTTTCGAGGCACATGCGGAAGTTGATAGTCCTCCTCTTCTTTATTCTATTGAGGACTATGCTGCCCAGCTCGTTCCTACGCTGGGTACTCAAGCTCAAGGACAAGACGTGTGTGCGGCATCTTCTCCGTCCGACAACGGCAACTTATCGTCTTCAAGTGGTTCTTCACGGGATTCGGCGCGCGAGTTCAACATAGAGGTATTGGACCCGCTCACGTTCGAGGACTTTGCATGGCTTCCTCTCCCGACCACGGGCCGCTTGCCGGGACCACGATGCGCAACGCTATGCGCTCATATCCACACGTACTTATCCTTCTATGCACCACCAACTTCGCCGACGGATGATGAAGTCGCGGTGGGGGACATCCTTGCGTATGTTACCAAGGTGGCCCGCGAGTTTCGCAATCAGCGGTACGATGACAACAACGCACCGCTACTCTATGTCCGCATCCAAGTTGGGCAAGCGTCCTGCACCGCTTTGCTGGATAGCGGCGCGTCTCGCAATTTTATGAGCCAAGCCTTTATGCAAAGGGCTGGCCTTGGTGCACAAGTTCGAAGGAAGGCAAACCCGACGGCGATCAAGTTGGCGGACAGAAGGACGCAGCAACTTATCAACCACTACATCGAGGCCGTACCGGTGTATTTCGCACCTCATGCATGCGAACCCGTGACGTTCGACATTTTGGACACGGACTTCGACATCATTCTGGGAATGCCTTGGCTTACAAGTGCGGATCACACGGTCTACTTCCACCGGCGGACTCTTAGCGTTCGCAACGCCTTCGGCGCTGAAGTGGCGTGTACTATTCCTCTTCCGCACCCTTCGATTCGGTGCCAAGTGGTGACGGCCAAATCATTCCGGGCGACTTGCGCTTACGAGCAGCCCGAGGAAATCGACCTATGTTTCCTACGGACCGTCGCGGTAGCCGACTCTTCACCCTAAGACTTGTCTTCGAACCTCCAGGTAGTGCAATTGCTGGACGAGTTCGCCGACATCTTCGAGTCACCTACCGGTGTGGCGCCGGATCGGCCGATCTCTCACGAGATCATTCTTGAGGCCGGTGCCGTGCCACCGAAAGGTTGCATCTATCGGATGAGCGAGGAGGAGCTTGAGGTCCTCCGCGCACAACTCGACGACTTGTTGGCCAAGGGCTGGATCCGCCCTAGTAGCTCCCCATATGAAGCACCGGTTCTCTTCGTCCGGAAGAAGAACAAGGATTTACGATTGTGTATCAACTATTGCAAGCTCAACGCGCAAACCGTAAAGAATGCGGGGCCTCTTCCTCGCATCGACGATCTTCTTGAGCGATTGGGCGGCGCGAAGCATTTTTCTAAGTTGGATTTGAAGTCCGGATATCATCAAATCTCGATGAGGCCGAACGATTGCTACAAATCCGCATTCAAGACGCGGTACGGGCATTTTGAGTTGGTGGTCATGCCTTTTGGCCTCACCAACGCCCCGGCGACCTTTCAAGCGACAATGACCAACGAGTTACGTGCAATGTTGGACCGGTTCGTGCTGGTCTACTTAGACGATATTCTCATCTATAGTCGAACATTGGAGGATCATCTTGGGCATTTTCGACGAGTGTTGGAGACGCTTTGCTGCGCCAAGTACAAGGCCAACCGCGACAAGTGCGAATTTGTCCGGCAAGAGCTGGAATACTTGGGCCATTTTGTCACACCGGAGGGCATCAGTCCGCTATCGGACAAGATTCAAGCCATCCAAGAGTGGCCGGAGCCACGGAACGTCACGGATGTTCGTTCCTTCCTTGGCCTCGCCGGCTACTACCAGTGTTTTATCAATGGTTACTCGAGGATCGCGGCCCACTTGACCAAGCTTCAATGCGAGCATCGACCGTTTGACTTCGGAGAGGATGCGCTGGAATCATTTTTGGCTCTCACCGCCCTCTCCTTCCAGATGCTCCACGTGAACAATGTCGACTCTCAAGGTTGAGCGCACACGACACCTCACATGAGAGGACTCAAGATGGAACTCACAACCTCATGGTAAGAAGTGATGAAGGGGTAGATAAGGTTAAGAGCAACGTACCTCATTATAGCTGCCCCCAACCACATGTATTCTCACCAGATGACCTGATGGCGATTGCGATGACCAGTCGCTGCATCGGCACAACCAGCATTATCTCGCCGTTCCACCTAAGCATCAATCCACCACCAAATAGTTCTCATCACACTGCGAACACCCAATATACGCACCATAGCCTTCCTGGCGATCCCCTCACCTCCTGGGTCACCACACCTTGTCTCCGCCCTCCTCACTACACACTCCCTACGACGTCACTCACCAAGCAGACCGCATGTATGTACCGCATAGGCAGAAGACAAGCGCCAGATTAGCGCACCGAACCACAACTCCGATACCAAATTGCAAGGAAGATGAGCGATAGCGAACTTCAAAAATCAAACAGCATCATACACATAAGACCAGACAGTCGTGACCTCGAACCAACATCAGAATTGCGTCACGAGTTTCACCAAATAAGAACACCAAGAGCTCATAATTGACAATGTTGGAATACTCTCATCATCATCATCAACGAAGAACCAATGTTGATATCGTATTGATATCCTATCTGGCGCTCGCCGCCCAGACTATAGATGGCAGATCCTATCTGGCCTACTCTACAATGCCGCCGGATGACGTCAACAGCTTCACCGAAGTACGAGCAGATCTCGGACAATGTCGTCGCTTCTAGCACCAGGTATGTCTCTCGTATCACTCACAACCTCGCTCACCAACTCACAGATGCCCTTTGCACCCAAGGACACCCTGCGCCACACCCAGCCTACAGCAGCGCAACTTGGCTATGGCTGCCTGCTCCTTCCAGCTCGCCCGTGAGCGCGTGAGCGCTGGCCAGCTTCAGCACAGCAGCGCTTGCGCAGCATGCAGCCAGCACCCGAATGCCACCAGCGTGGGCTGGCCCTTTCCTATATGGAAAATGGCCAGCCTGGGTGCGTGCAGCCTGGCTGTGCTGGGCCTCTGCCCAGAAGCTTCATGTAGGCCCAAGGAGGTTGAGCCTCAGACCAAACAAATTGGCCCAAGGCCACCGACTGTTACCTGTGCCCAACTGCCCACAGCCTCGGTTGGGCCTATGCTGTGAATCTCGCCCAGGGCCTGACTCAGATGCATTTGATAAAAGGAACCAGGGCCTGGGCGCTTCCAACCAACTGGCGCTGCGCAACCGCCTGAATTTTCCCCAGTTGCGAAGTAGTCCAAAATAGGCCTCTCAAGGTCCGTTAGGCCTGCCTTCACTTAGGGCGGCCGACGCTGTTGCAAATAGGGGCCCAGTAGGGCTTATCGAGGCCTTGTGCCTCGCATTCCCTCCTCCATACTTCGCTAGTCCTCTTAGAAGTTCAGTCTTCGATAATCTGGCGCTTTCCTTCCGTAGAGACTTCTCATAGTGAGCGACTACCTGGGAAGCGGTCTGCATCAGTTCCTCCCTTGTGAACCATCTGTCCTCCTTTGGATCAGTGTGATGTCTGAACCGAACTCGATACTGCAGCTTCGGTTTTGGAGGACGTCCTCTGCCTGTTGGTCTTGGAACTGGCATCTCCCTGTGGTCAACGATGTCGTCGATGTCGACCTCTCCATCCATGGTTGGGGGCAGCATAGAGCGACTAGAGGGAAACTGGTCAGTTTCTTTGAATGGTGCAAGCTTAGAAGCGTGAAAAACAGGGTACGTACGTAAGTGACCAGGGATGCGAATAACATAAGACGGCCCATCCGGTTCATTCCCAACAACATCCAGAATCTCCCATGGTCCAAAGTATTGTGGCATGAGCTTCCGGCAGATCCCGTACTCCTGTCCCAGTTCTGAGGACTTGACCCAGACTCTATCCTACCTGGAACGTGGATGGGCGGCGCTGTTTGTTCTCAGACTCTATCATCGTCGCTTGTGTCTTGTACATTTGTTCAACAGCCTGCTGCATCAACTGCTCATATCGATAAGCAAACTCTAAAGTCCCTGGTGCAGCAGAGGGCTGGTTCTCAGGTAGTAAGAAATCCAAGGATAGTCTAGGCTTAAAGGTTAATAGCAGACTATTCGGGCTCACGCCCGTTGCGCTGTGGACCGCGTTGTTCTACAGGCTGGCAATGAGAGCAAGTTTCTCATCCCAGTCTACCTGATTTGGCTTGATGTAATGCCTCACAGCAGGTGTTGTACGACGCGGTTCAACTGTTCTGCCTGTCCATTCGCCTCGGGATGGTTTCCTGATGTCATCTGCAACTGCGTTCCCTATTCTGCAGCTGTGGCTTTCCACAGTTCACTTGTGAATCGCACATCACGGTCACTGACTATAGACTTTGGCAATCCAAAATCTCTAACCAGTTCTCTTTGAACAGCTTAATCACATGCCCAGTCTTCGCTGTCTCCGACATTGCAACTAACCTAGCGTACTTACTAAACCTATCCACGATAACAAAGATGTGTCTCATTCCGCTCTTGCTGGTGACCAGCGTGTCCATGAAGTCCATAGACAAGCTCTCACCGGGCCTTTCCGGAATCGGAAGAGGCTTGAGGAGCCCAAGAGGGGCCTGCGTACGGGGCTTGTCTCTCTGACAAACTTGACAAGTCTCCTTGTACAACTGCAGCAGATTGGCTCTCATCATCGTCGGCCACCAGAACCGCTGCAGCAGATTGGCTGCAGTCTTTTTGAAACCAAAATGTCCTGTGGCAACATGACACTGGCCTAAAAATAAACTACGCAAAGACTCTCTATCTGGCACACACAAACGTTTATTCCCTGCAGCCCGTTGACCAACTCAAACTCGACAGAAGTTGCTTTGTCCTTCGCCTCGAGTCTGCGTATGATCTCAAACATAAACCGGTCCTCGCAATAGGCTTCCACCATAGATTGAGTAACATCGTCCGCAAGCCCAAACTCAGTGATCAGCACACCAGAGAAATCTGGTCTAGGCGACAGCGCATCAGCAACCTTATTGTACTCGCCCTTGATGTACTGGGGCTCAAAGTCATACTGCTCTATGACTTCAATCCAACGCTTCAGAGCGTTGGAGAGCACAGGCTGGGTTCTCATCCACTTCAGGGTCTGGTGATCAGTCCTGACGTAGAAGAACCTCCCAAGGAGATAGTGCCTCCAATGGGTGAGCGCCTTGTAAATCGCATAGAGTTCCTTCTCATAGGTGGACTCATCCAACTTCTGAGAGGGAATCTTTTTGGACATGTACTCTACAGGCCTCAACTTTTTCCCCTCCTGCTGCGCAAGTACGGCGCCTATACCATATTGGCAAGCATCTGTAGTTACTACGAAAGGCTTGTCACGATCAGGAAGTTTCAAGACCTCCTAATGTGTCAACGCATGCTTCAAATGTCGGAAAGCAGCCTCACACCTATCTGTCCACTCCCATAGGGTGTCGAGGCGAATCAGGTCCGTCAAAGGGGCGGCCACTATGCTATAATTTTGAACGAAATTGCGGTAGTAGCCTGTCATCCCTAGGAAGGACCTCATCTCAGTCACAGACTGAGGACGCGGCCAGTCACGACTGCTGGCCACCTTCGCGTCATCGGGCTTCAATCCCTCCGCGGAAATGTCATGACCCAAGTACAAAACACGGGTGCGGCCAAACTCGCACTTCTCACTGTTGATCTTGAACTTGTGCAGTCGAAGAAGACTAAGGACTTTGTCCAAATGTGCAACGTGGTCCTCGACAATCTTACTAAAAATAAGTACGTCATCGAGGTACACGATGACAAACTCTTCCAAGTAGTCATGAAATTTCCGATTCATAGCGTGCTGAAAGGTGCCAGGAGCATTGCAAAGGCCGAAAGGCATCACCACAAACTCGTACAGACAGTACCTGGTCTGAAATGCAGTTTTGTGTTCATCCTCGGGCCGGATTGCAATCTGATGGTACCCGAACTTCAGATCTATCTTACTGAAGTACTGACACCCTTGCACTCTATTTAGCAAGTCATCGATGCGCGGTAAGGGTTCTCTGTTCTTGACAGTGATGGCATTGAGGCCCCTATAGTCAATGCACATCCTAATTGTTCCTTCCTTTTTCTTCGTTACGAATAGGACTCGTGAACCATAAGGAGAAACACTCGGTCGGATCCAACCTTTTATGAGTTCCTTGAATGGTCGGCGTAGCTCATCAAGCGCGCTTGGAAACATCCGATAGATCCTACCCTTTGGGATGCTAGACCCTGAGATAATCTCTATCGCGTGGACGACCTCCCTCTCAACAACCCCTGTAGGCTCTTCAAATAGATCAGGGTATTTAGTGACTACTCCCTCTATCTCCGGCGGCATTTTCACCGGCTCACCTGCAGCAGAGACAAACTAGATACATACCCTCCTCCTGATTTTGCTTATAGTAATTATAGAACGCGGCCGCACACATGCATCCATAGGACTCGATCAGACTACTAGCTTTGAACTTACGTAATCTGGCGATCCCTCCACCTGGCAAAGTGTGTTTGACCACTTTTCGGTCCCAGTCAAACTTGGGTTGTGCCATAGAGAGGTAGTACATAACTAACAAGATATCCATGGGAGGATCATCACTCGCTAGGAACGAGACGCGATGTCTCAATTCCCCTCCCGCGTACGGGAAACAACACTCAACATCCTGGAGGTAGTCGTTAACTACCATGCGCTGTTTGTTGGCACAGGTCTGACTCCACAGGTCGACTCAGGTGCTGCACTTGCCCCTGTAAGCGCAGCCTCTCAATGCAAGCGCGACAAATGAAGTTCCGTGTCGAGCAAGTGTCATAATACGCCCCGGCCTTCCAGCCGCCAATGACCACCTCGCTGACGAACATCTCACCCTTACGGGCTTTGACTAATGCCGTCCAAGAAGCTAGCGGGTCTGATCTAGACCACTCCTCCTCTAGCACCTCTAAGGACTCAAACACATTCATTGAACAGAGGCTCGATTGGTCTGAACGTGTTTGCGGGACGGCGATGGAGTCTGTAGCTTGGGCCATCTCTCGAGATGGTGAGGGTGTATCCACTACCTCGACCCTAGCAGGCCCGACGTGTTTCCCGGAGCAGTGCCTGAAGTGCTAACATTGCAACCGACGGAAGCGGAGGATCGTACCGTCTGCCCCATCGTAGGCGGGATCTTCTCGGTCACCTTTTTGTTACGACACTTGAATTGGATATGGCCATATTGGCCACAACGAATGCAAGCTTGCCGGGTGTACAAGTCTCTCCACACGTCCTCAGTGAGACCCGCTTTCTCCCATGGAGGAGCATTGGGGTCAACTTGACTCCTTGACCGGGAACCTCCTCAGCGTCTACCGGTCGCCTTTCCTTTCTCAGCTACGGCAGCGACTACTCCACCCTCTGAAGCTTCAACGCTGCCTGCCTCCGAACCAACTCCCGCCTAGAACTCGATGGTGGAACCATCGTTGTCGACGAACATAATGCAGCCCTTTGCCTTCCAGTTGGGAGGTAGTGACTTTTTCCTACCATCCGTCGTGGGATTATGTCCATGCCCTATCTTTGCCTCCAGGTCTAGGGCCTTCTTGCTGAACGAGGGAAAGTTGTGCATATTGATGTTGGCCTCACCTGCCAACTGATTCCTGAGAGGCATAGGAGGTAAGTAAGACCTGGGGGTTATAGCGCACCCCAGGGACATAGATTAGACGCTCTATAGCATCAGTGCCTTCCCTTACTGACTTGAACTGCCTCGTGTGCAGTGTCAGGATCGCGTCAGTGGCTTTTTGAGCCTCCTGAGGATCATGCCACCTGTCTTCCACCATCTTTGAGAAAGTCCTCCACTTTCTGGTGGGCTGCCCAAACGCGAAAGTCATGACCGTACCCCTATAGTTGCACTAAACCACTCAACCATCGTGCTGCACTCCCCTCTAGATAGGAGGCAGCACAAACACTTCCTCGTGCGGCAAGGTAAGTTTACATTTAACATAGACCGGCACTGCTGTGACGCACGTGCGGAAGGCACGTGTGGAGATGGTGAGAGAGAGAGAGAGAGAGAGAGAGAGAGAGAGAGAGAGAGAGAGAGAGAGGAGATGGACACACACGAGAAGCAGCCGCCGAGTGAAGGTCCAGTCCGGCTCAATGAATGAACGAACCACTGAATGAATGAACCTCCCGCCCTGGGCCTAGGCCGAAGTAATATACTGGCCTAGGTCCAGGTACGGGAAAACCTGGTACCGGACCAGGGTCAGGCCGACGGCCTGAAACTGGTCCGGCCTCATTGCCGGGCCGTAGGGGTACCGCTACACGATCCTCGGACCTGTGAATGGATCAAACGATACATCAAACACGCTATCCGCTGAAATAGCGGAAACCTAAAAGGAACGGCAAAAGGACCAATCCTAAATGCGGAGCAGGCTCCATGCATGAATAGGGATGCAATGCAGACTAAGCCTCAAGCCTAATCTATACCATAATGTCTGGTCTGTGTCCAAAAAGTAGAAAAATGTCTGACCTGTGTCGGCCAAGAAAGAGAAAAATGTCTGACCTGTGTCGACCAAGAAAAAGAAAAATGTCTGACCTGTGTCGGCGAAGAAAGAGAAAAATGTCTCCTCAGCCAAAGGGGCTGAATATACATCAACACCAGGGCCCTAAAGGCCAAAGAATAACTAAACCAATGTCCTAAGTCGAAAACCAATGTGGCACAGTCTCACGTGCCCTGTACACAATGCACAATACCTGAAGAAAAGAGGAAGGGACTCAGTTGCATGGCAGAAATAGGAATGGGTGGGAAGGCAGCAGGTACAGCTCTCAGAGTAAACTCCAAGGGGGCACCCACACAACCAGGTAAGGGGTCATCAGGCTCAGAGGGGGAGTAACAGCACGACACCGAGCTTAATGGAAACCATCAAACGGGTACCGCCAGCTGAAAGGGTGGAAGGGCACTCACACAAGGGAGGCACACATAAGGTGAGCCTGGAAGGAGAGAGGGTTATGTCGGCATAGACATGTAGCCAGAAGCCGCGAGCAAGGAAAACGTACACTCCAGAGGAGGGCGCGCAGCATAAGGTAAGACAGAAGGGCGGCAAGCGGACACACCCACATAGACAGGGAAAATAGGGGTCATCATGCGACTGAAGGGTAAGCTCGAGGGTGGTAGATAGGTAGGAATGATGGGAACTCTGTAGACGAAAAAGAGAAGTAGTCCACTGATGAGTCGCGAGGCTGAAATCGAACCGAAGTAGCCTGGATGAAGTAGGAGTACTGCAAAAACCGAATAGAAGTCCGGAGCAATGCGACAGGTACTCTGGTACTGAGGAGCAGCAATGAGGTCGAAAGTCAAATGTAGAAGCCGAATGTAGGAGCCGAATGTAGAAGCCGAAACCGGGAGCTGCTGCATAAGTGTCCAGGAATGGTAAAAGATAGAGAGCGTATAGGGGATATAGGTCAGTCACGAAAACGAGAAGGAAGTCGATGGGTACGTGGAGGGCGAGAGGAATGAACTGCAACAACAGGCGGAACCACATCCACAAGGGGAGGAGGACCTGAGGCGGGTACCGGTGGAGTAGGAGGACCCATCGATGGAGGAGGGGGAATGTTAGTGGTCGCAGAGGTAGAAGGGTCAGTAGTAGAAGGATGAGAAGTAGGGGGGGAGGATGATGAAGGGAACGGATGAGCACGATTGTAAGCACGCACGAAAGTCATAGCATGCTTCAGGTGCTCAAGAGGCTCCCAAGTAGAATCCTCGTCAGGATAACCCTTCCATCGAACGAGATACTCGAGGCGGGGAGGGTCACCATCAGTCATACGCCGGGACGCAATATCAGAGACGACAAA